CTCAGAGCTACCACTGTAGAATGTACACAGAGAAGACTGGAGCACTTTGAACATGACGTACATGAATAGTGCTGGAAATTATTCTGAAGTTTTAATGTATGCAGATGACTCAGTTTTGTTTGTATATCTATATGTGGCAAGTAAGACAACTTTAAAACCAGAGCACTTTATTATTAAGCCTTGTTCAAATGTTTCTGTGATTCTCTAACATTTATCATTAGTTAATCCCTTATCAGTCATTACATTAGTCAAAGAGCACAAAGGACAAAACCAAAAGTCTTCATCAAAGCTAAGTTTATAAATTTTYCTTGYCTAGACATGATCATGTCGACTGAAWRAATCAGCTGCCTCTGCACCAATGACAGGATAAACAATGAACAACTAAACAAATGGTGTCATGCAAATTTGTAAAAGTTTATAATCCWTGAATGTTGTGTACTTTCACACCAGTCAGGCTAGCTATTAACCTAACCTGGAGGATGAAGATTTCTTCCATGATGGCTCAGTGGTTAGCACTGATACCTCACAGCAAGAAGGTCCAGGGTTTGAACCCCGGTTCAGACCTGGAGTCTTTCTGTGCGAAGTGTGCATGTTCTTCTTGAGCTTGTGTGGGTTTTCTCCAGGTATTCTGGTTTTCTCTCACAGAATAAAAACATGCATGTTAGGCTGTTTTCAGGCCCAGGCCTTCTTTGCAAAAGAGGTCTGTGAGCTCAGTGGGATTTGCCTGTTACATTAAGGTCAATAAAAAATAGACTTCTGCCCATTTTTCCACATTCTATGACTGATTTCATGTTCAATAGAATGCCAAATATTGATAGCTATTTGAATGAAATACACTTCAAAACCTTTCTGTTTGTGATCATTGTCCTTTAAATATGTAAACCTATAACCTAATAGGTAGGTAGATAAGTAAAGTACCTTTTTTATTAATCTCAACATTTTTAAATATAATGTTATATTATAATTGAAATTTTGCTTTTAAATTAATAAGAACATTTGTTTACAAAAAACACATACACTCTCTGAGAAATTCCCTGAAACAAGATGTTAGATTTTTGCAACTTTGATCCACTTGCCCGTTGCGTTCTGAGCTGTGAAAATGCATGCGTGGATGTAGGTTGTGTGCGGTCATGTCTATTGAGCGTCCTAACATCCAGCAGGGACCCGGGGGGCAGAGAATCGATCTGTAATGTAGCCTGTAAGTGACCTCGCCACCTGGTGACTCACTTTCTGACCTTAGTTTGCTTTTAAGCTTTTGAATGTACTTTTAATACACTTTCAACAATCCTTTCACAAAGACTTTTAGTTTCCCGCCAATATTGAGTTTTCAGACCAAGATTTCACATCCACATTTATTGTAATATTTTGCAAATCCATAAGCATGAGCAAATTGCGCGGCAGGTGTATTAGARGGGGCACTGTCGGGCATCTTCTGTGGTCCACCATGTGGCAGCAGCCATCTGCTGGTCCAGTCTCTCRTCATCAGAGCCTCTCATTAGCTTTCTGCTGCTTCGATCTGCAGCCTGAACACTCTCTGTGACCCACTGTTGTTTTTATTCCTGTCCACAAACCCTTCATCTCCCTGTCTCTGCTCCAGCTTCCCCTCCTTCACATCACAGCGCAGGCTAGCAGGACACCAGAGCCTCATGAGGTTAACACACACACACACACACACACACACACACACACACACACACACACACACACACACACACACACACACACACGGCCCAACTATAGGGACAGTACAGTATGGGACAGGGAAGTGAGAGGGAAATAGGTCAGTCTGCTCGCACCCCTCCCCTCCGAAACCCCCCTCACTGTCCTGGCTGGACGTAAAAATGGGACAGGCGAGGGGACACACTCGCACACAAACACAAACACACAATGCACCAGATGGGGGAACATGTGCGTTTGACAAAATGGAACCTGTTGGGGTTCAAAGGGCACGGCTGCGTCGTGTTATGTCATCAACTCAACCTTGCGACCGGTACGTGACTGTGCCAATGATCCCCGTCTGCTTTTAATGACTCTACCATGAAAAAAAAGTGCAGGTGGAGTAAAGAAATAAAAAAAGTTGCATTTTAAATTCAAAGAAAACAGAAATGTCTTGTCTTTTTGTGTTTTCCTGCYATGGATGCAGATGGTGGGAAATTTCTAAGAAACAAATATTTTTGTGACATTCAGAGCACAACGGAGGTTCGGTTAGATTTAGATAATAAAAAGCAACAAAAAAAGTAACTTCCTCTGAAGGATTATGTGTCCATCGCATGGCATGCGAAAGTTTTCAACAAATTTCTCATGTGAATCATTTGAATTTGAAATATGTGTTGAGAGTGACTTTCTGCGCTCTGAGTGAAGCATGGGTCCAGGGCATGTGCTGTGTACTACTGTATTATGTTTTTTTTTAATGGAACTGATTTTACATTTACATTTAAGTTAARAATTTAGCTTTAATTGACATTCTTTATTGTACATTGTTTTCGATTTCTGCAATATCTCAGGGATTACAGCAAATTCCTGGTATTTAGGTTCTAAAAAAAATCTGCGAAAGACTGAGTCCACAAACTGTGAAACATAACTTGTGGATATTCACTGTATTTCAATCTAGTTTAGATATTGAACTAAAATTTGATGTGGTAATAACAGTCAACACACAATTTTCATGGTCAGACCAAAATAGCTCTAACAACATCATTTCTCAGCATAAAATGACTGGTTTAAAACTCCAACACAAAAGGTGGCAGGTGACATGTCTTTAATAATCTCATTCTGTTGAATTTATTTTGTTTCGTTTCCCCACAAAGCTCTCTTTTTTAACTGTATTTCTTGTTGTGGCCCCGAGGTGTGTCGTTGTCATTTCTCACCCTGAATGTAAACACGTTGGGTGATAAAATTAGATCTCGACTAAGTGAAGAAATAAACCCACATGTTCGCCTTTGCTGAGCCCGGATCGGCTCCCAGCACCTCCTGCTGTGCCGTTTGAAGGAAAAGGAGCTCCGGAGACGGTGACAAGCAATCAGGCACACTCACTCACACTCAAAGAGCTTTTCAGTCACAAAATCAATTTTCATTCTCACATCTTCATTAGATCTGGTCACACTGAGTCCTGCTGGCCAAGCAGGGCCACAAACAGGACTGTAGAGGTGGTTAAAAAAGGACCTGAAGACCAGAATCAATTAAAAAGCCTAGGATTACTTGATGAAATGCATATCACCTACCACATTTCACATCACAGTTTTCAACTAAAATAGCCTCATAACGAGAATGGATGGATTTATAGCTCAAAACAAGAGGTGAGGACGACTCAAATACTACCACACCAAGTTTTAGACCTTTTGTTTGTCTGAGGAAGTCATCTTAAATCAAATTGTAGATGGACATTCTATCATGACTTTATAAAAGATTCAAGTCAATTCAGTGGATAATGGAAAAGTTTTAAAGAAAGATCTTGTGCAATCAGTTAGTGGTCATTGACCGTATTGTGGARMACTCTTAGCTACTACCATARCAAGTTTTAGCTCAATATCTGTAAATAAGTCTGGATTATTCCCATTCATGTGTTTTATATGTTCAAGTAGCTGTGGTGGCCATCTTAAATTGGTTTGTCTCTACAAGGTAGAGGCACAACTAATGATTGCTTACAGAGAATTTCACTAAATCCATCTATTTGTTCATGAGATATTTTGCTAACAGACAAAGACATGGGCAATATGGGTAATAAAAAACCTCTTTGTTTTAACATGAGATTCAGCTGTTTGAGTATCATTTGTGCCTCTGTGCTGTAATTTATATCATGAGCTGTTTTAAACATTCAGATGATTTATGGGATGATGATGATGATGAGAATGACAGCGATGATGACGATGATGTCACTGTGTTGTTTAGCAGGAAGTGGTGTCATGGTTATGAGGAGAGTTAAACCCAAGGGCAAGAGGGCTGTAGAAATGACAAAACAAAAAGCTGGTTTGGCAGCAAAAGACACAAGAGACACAGAGGAGAACCAGACATGGTATAAAACCACAAATCCAGACTGTAGATGAGTGAGAAGTGAGAGATTAAATGAACTGAGGCAGATGAGTAAAAACAAGACATCAGCCCTAATGAAATCAGGAACAGGTGTAAGTGAGTGTGTCAAGGCAACAATGAAAAGAAAAAAAAAACAAATTATGACAAAAGTATTTGCTACATTTCTTAGTGTAAAAAAATAACAAAATGTTTATTTCTGTAAGCAGCTCATCGTGTTCAGCCTCCAATTCTCACACTGACTGCTCATCAGCTGACCTATATACTCCTAATTACACCCAGAGCCTGTTGACAACATGCAGACACACACACAGACAACACAAACAGACACATAAAATTGTCCGTGTATGTTTGAAAATCATGGCAAGATTTAAAAACGTATTCCGTAAACAAGAAAAAGCAAATGTGCAGAAATTCCTACACAAAACTTTGAAAGCTGTAAAGGCCTTGGACTCCTTGAAGGAAAGGTTATTACCACACACACACACACACACACACACACACACACACACACACACACAC